TCAGAGTCTTATACGTGTCGCTAGTATTGCTCCGGAGCGTGTGCTCCGTATCTGGTAGTTTTTAAAGACCCTAGATCTGCGCAGTTGTCTGGGGTACTTTGTTACTCCAGTTGGAGAAATCAACCATTTAACCGTTTAACGGTGAACATACCAAGAAAATCACTATTCAAGCTTAGAATGGCGTATGGACTATCTTGAGTCGGTCCTTTGAGCCACATATGCACCAAACCAAACCTATCGAAAACTTATCTGAAGGTGAAAAAATTGGACATCACAGTCTTCTCTTTGGCTTCACAATGGGTTGCGATGGCGGTACTATTCCTCGCAGAGACGAACTCGTAAGAATGAAAAAGAAGCCCGAACAGGTAAGATTTGAGAATCGCCATAACCAAGTTACGATTGTCCGAGCTAGTTTTAATTGCGCAAATACAACACGAGGAAATATTTGACTAATATTGAATTGTTTACAGAAAGACAAAGAGGCGGAATTGGCTTTCAAGTGGAAGCACTGCACGATACGGCAATTGCCACTTCAATCGCCGGTTGTGGGTTGCTACTTTGGTCGTTTGTACAGTAAGGAGTCTGTGTTGGAGGGCCTGCTGGATCGCAATACACTTCCGGAATCTGCTGCACATATCAAGACTCTTAAGGATGTGAAGACTCTTAACTTGACTCCAAATCCGGCATTTGACGGTGACAAAGCTGAGAAAGGAGACAGCTACACTGGAGGCAGAAGTCCTTATATTTGTCCAGTCATTGGCTTAGAGATGAATGGAAAATATAAATTCTGTTTCTTATGGTCGTGTGGCTGTGTAATGAGCGAACGAGCATTGAAAGAAGTGAAGACTGCAGTAAGTTAAAAATTATTTTTTATTTTTATTAATATAAACCAATTTATATTGAAGCAAACATTTTATAAGAAATATGAATTTGAAGCGTAAATTTTATAAAGTAAATTAAAATTTTATTACAGTCTTGTCACAAATGTCAACAACCGTTTGAGGAAAAAGATGTGGTTATATTGAATGCAGAGGGTGATGATCTGGAGCTCATGAAGGAGCGTGTGTCACTCAGAAAAACTAGTCAAAAGAAATCGAAGAAAAACAAGCTAGACAGCGGTGCGCCAACAGAAAAGACAGAAGAGCCATCCAAAAAGAAGTTGAAAAAAGAAGATACGATTGTTCCAAAGTTGAACAATCAACCTGAGGTTAACGATCCTGCTTATAAAAAAATTAAGAAAAATTATAGTATTGCAAAAGATCCTAAAGCGTCAGAGGTTTTCAAAAGCATTTTTACCTCTCATAAGACCGCTACGGAGCAAGATAGGGCACATTGGGTTACTTATAATCCATTTTACAATTAATTTGTATTCGCATACAAATTGTTTCCACTTCAAAGATTTGTTGATTTATGTTTAATTAAGAGATTGGAAGCAATGTTTTTTGTAAAACGACTAATAGGGAAGAGAGAGAGAGAGAGTGAAGTAGACAGTACATATGTATACATGTTACACATATGTAAACTGCAATAGATAATAGTATGTAAACTGTAATAGATAATAGGAAAAAATTACGTATATAATTTTACGATATCTCGTTAGGTTAGGTTAGGTTAGGTTAGATTAGATTAAAACTAAAATTATTAAAACTAAAACTAACAAATGTACATAATCGTATGTAAAAAAACCTTTTTATCAAAATATAGTTCAAATTTATTTATATAAACGTACAATTTATGTTAAAAAAAAACATCTACCTTAAGTTACTTAGACAAATGTGTAATTGCATGTATACGATGTAATACAGATTCTTAATAAATTTAGTCACGTGTTTTATGTACAATGTATTTATATAAAATATAGAGTTTTCGTGGAAAAAAAAAACCAAGATTCTTTCAATTACGTTTGTCTGGGTATCCTGCGCACGGTAATTCCTTGAATGACTCTCCGCAATCTGCTGCCTATGGTGCGTTTCCTACGAGAATGCCTTCTAAACGGTAAAACTGTCCACAGATACAATAAACATCCAAAGGATATTACCATAAGAATTGTCACTATTATGAAAGTTTGATATGAAACTTGGCTGTTAAGATTGTCCTCGACGGTCTCTTTCATGTAATCCATCATCATATCGTCGTCGAGATTTTGAAATGTAGGAATACTGGCGCCGCCAACTCGTCTTTTTAGCCACAAAGTATTCATATCCTGCAATATTGGATTTTCCGCGTTTATAGTATCCCCTATTGGTAAAACTTTTTGCAGTTTGTACGGATCTCTGTAAATACAAACAGACAAAACAGAATTCAAGTACAGATATCGAAAGTGAGAAAATAAATCATCAGTAATCATCAAGTGCGATTACTGTCAGTAAGTGATGAAACTTGAGTACACTTTGCACACACAAAGCTATCCCATCTTTAGCTGCAACTTCGGACACCATATTCTATCCATTGTTACACCGGAATTACAGAGACACAACTATGATACAATTAAGATAACCAAGTAACCGTCGTTTGATTAGTTTTTTTTTCCCATAGCAATGCATTAGTTTTTCCAATATTTTTATATTAAAGCAAGAATAATTTGACAAAAAAACGAGTTCAAGGAACGTTTGTTATTGAAGTGATACTTATTTTACACTGGAATTGTACTTACAGTGGCACAGATTCGTTGACTGGCATAGACGCAGCATAGGCAAGAGTTGGACACAATGGAAGACGTTTAAAATTGCCTGCTGGACTATCGTTCATCAACACTTTGCTGTGACGACTGAAACGATTCCCTTTCATCCGAACCGGTAACTCACCGATCTCTATATTGTCGGTCGTTTTGACAGTCTTGCATTTTTTTTTATTTTCATTCATAAAAACATTAGGTACGTAACCTGTCGTCGTGTATTCCAAAATAGCGTCTAGCATCCAGAAGCAAGCTGTGTAAAATCATTTATTCAGTCAATAAAATATTTGCAATATGTTGTAAACACACATTACATCATTTTAATATTTTCTCTTGAAAATGCACCGTTTCTGTAATACACCCGTTTTTGTAAATGATTGTCATCGATGCAGTTTGAATCTCCGTAAACGACAAGTCTGCCGGCCGTCGTCTGTTCTTTGACATAAGTGTTTTCTTCATTCTGATCTGCTTGCTTTATGTCGTTATCAATTCCATTGCGATTCGCTGTTTCAACATCATTCTTACCAGACACTTGTAAAAGTCCTAGAATCGGTACGAGCGCAGGTATTCCGGGTTCTTTTTTTACAAGTTCGTGACCCTGATCATCCAACTCCGCGTACAGAACGGTTCCATCTTTCGGAAATCTGAAAGACAAAAAAAAAATTACAAACTCTTAGTATATGATAATTTAAAATATTTCTCCGTGCATATACTAGACGTTTTACCTAATTAATGTGGTGCCGGATGCAAATGTGACTGGCGCGTGTTGATGAAGAGTAAACTGGCCGCTTCGTACTTGATCGCCAAATGCCACACCCCAATTAGTGTAAAGCAAGTCGTTTACGGCCGGAATATTGGCACCTCCCGTTTCCGGTATCCACCACAAACGAGTGTTCTCGTCGTAAAACTGAATTTTTTCCATTACTGTCACATTGTACCAGTCAGCAAACACAATTACCGACAGACCATCGTTCTCCACGTCTTGCTTCAGCTTGGTCACCTGCGATCATAACAATTTTTTCGATACAGACACACATGCACGACAGATTTAGTCGAGAGAAACCCGATCTTACGAAGCCTCGCGATAAATGCGTACTTCTTCGGGATAAAATTCCTCCTCCGGATCTACAATAAGCAAGGTCCCGTAATTTCTTGCGTTGAAACAAGTAAATGGATGGCCGAGCACTTCGAGATAATAGCCAGCATTGCGTAAGTGCTGATACATTTCTTTAAAGTTCGTGTGTATGTGATCGCCGTTCCAATCAAGCGGATCGTTCTTTACGCGCAGATCATCTCGAGGGAAATATCCAGGCGGATACCGTAGATTGTGATACTGGTCCCACAAAATACGTTTGCTGAAGAGTGTATTTAACAAGTGACAATAATTAAGTCGAACATTACGACATTAACGAATACTTGAATAAAAATAATTTATTGAAAGTAACAAAAAAAATCGTGTATGTGTGTTTATTTTGTATTATCTACTTCCACTCACTGTCGAGGAGGTGTGGGTATCACTTTCGCCTGCAGCGGAAGTTTTACGATCGATTGCCGAGGCTTACCCGCGCCATCACTTTCAACAGTAAGCGTGATGTGACCTGTAAAAAAAAAAAAAAGAAATCTATTATATCTAATCTAAATTTATATATATATAAAATTAATTTGTTTATATAAATTTAATAATTTAAATTTATTTATTGCATATTGAACAATGCCTTGCCAGTCTTGAGATGTTATTATATCTAATCTAAATTTATATATATAAAATTAATTTGTTTATATAAATTTAATAATTTAAATTTATTTAATTGCACCTTGAGCAATGCCTTGCCAGTCTTGAGACGTTGAAGGAACTGTTATAGAAACCGCTAACCAACCTGACCACGGCCACAAAATGTCGCTGTGCGTTATCGCCACATCAATACGTTCGCCATTACCGTTACCAGTATATGGATGCCAAGTGAAGTTTACGACATTTCCAGCTACACCCAAGCCGTTAATGATAGTCACATTGACTATTGTAGGCATACCGGTATGATACACAGCTTGCGTGCAGTACGGCCACATGTACTGACACTCCGTCAGGTCTATGTAACTAATCATTTAACAAAGACAAAATATATTGATTGTATTAATACTATCTAGATTTTATTACCGCATATTGTTTTTATGTATGTTAATTTTACCTCGGGCTAAGTGTAACGACAGGAGAATACGACTGTAAAAACTGAAACGCCCGCAGAAGATCCAATTTTCCGGCACCTTGTTCGAACATGCTAATTCCGGGCAAGCGACGAGCTGATTGCAACAATATTTGTTTCATACTTGCTGGTGTTACCTTACAAATATGTTCGTTATGTAAATAAGATTTTTTTTTTCAACAATAGTGAATAGTTTTTCGGTCAATTTAAATTACTTTGTCGCTAGATGAGTTCGATTCTATAAATGCACTAGCTAACAGTGCAACTGCACCGGCAACAACAGGACTGGCAACGGAGGTGCCGGAGAGTGTTCTGCATCCGTGATGTAAAGCGGATCCTTTCACTCCCGACCCGTATGTGACCAGGTCAGGTTTGACTCTGCCGTATCCAAATGGCAATTCCCACGTAGTCATTCCGCGGGAGGAGAACATTGCTATTTGATCGTCCCAGTTGATACCTCCTACACCAATTACATCCATTTGATCAGAGGGATTGTTCAGAGTGCTGTGTACAAATAAAAATCAAAAACAGAAATGAAATATAATTGTTGCTAAAAATAAAACTAGTTTTTTCTTGTCTATATAAACAGCAACCGTTTTACAAACCCATAAATAGGTCCGTCATTGCCAATTGCAGATACCATAATGATACCGTTAGCCGTGACTTCCCATACTTTATCGACAAACGGTTGATCCATGAAATCCGGACCACCGATACTTAAATTCAATACTGTCACACGTCGAAGTATAGCGTGATTGAAAGCGTCTAAGAACCATGCGGTATAAGATACCTGCAAAAGAAAATTATGTAAAAATTTTTTTTATAATAAACTTCTTAGGATTAAAAAAAAAAAAGTACCTGAGCATTTGTAAAAACGCGATAGATATAAAGATCCGCGTCTGGAGCAAAACCAGAGCAATCCTTGGAAGATGATGCAATCACGCCTGTTACAAATGTCCCATGGCCCAGACTGTCGTCCATAGTTTTTTCATTTGTCCAGTTTATTCTTTCTTTGATATTTCTAAAGTGTGGATGGTTACTGGCGGTTCCGGTGTCAAATATTGCTACTTTAACACCCTTTCCGGTAAAGCCCATTTTCCATAGCGTGTCAGCTCCAAGTAAATATGGAACTTGTACTGATATCGCTCTGAATAATTTTCGATTCTAAAAATTAAAATTGTTCCGTTAGTATTTACATATAACATTATTTTCAATTGTTTTTGTATTAAGAATCTTTTACGATTCAAACTTACATGATTAGTGAGTTTTCTTTTAAAATGTTTGTGTTCTAAGGCATCGTGATCACTTGTACCGACGAGATTTAAAGTTCTACGTATTAATCTCTGCGACGTCACCGTTTTTATCAAAGGATGATTTTTCAGAGCTTTCAAGCCTTGATGTTTACTCGTTTCTTCTAATTGCACAATGTCAAAGTCACTGGGATACTTGGACGCCGCGTTCTCGCGAGGTATAATTTTCCAGTTTTTAACATCAGACGATTTTAATGCGGCTCTTATGTAATTCTCTCGTACACGAGCTATGTAATAATTCTTAAATTGGACGATATATTCATTTTTGACTATGCTGGAGGAGAATGTAACTTTGACTTTCTGCGCATTACAACAGGAGCAATTTAACAATTCGGATATATCATATTCCGGAGACTTGTTTGCGTAATTGTTATCATTGTATTTTTCAAAGTCACTCGTGTGATTGTTACTCGATACATAAAAGATATCAAATAATAATAAAACATATAGCAAACTACACAGCTTCATACTACCAACATTTGGATTAACTTCTCAGCTTTAGAACCACATATATCATACTTGGTTCAAGATTTGTGTCATTAAATTGATCAAAATCAATCAGATGTAATTACGACACAAAAATAATCTTTCTTCGGGTTGTTTCTTATTTATATTCGTTCTCCATAATTTTTTACGTCTATTATATTCGCTCTTAACGTATCTCACATTCTAACCTTGACAGATTATTCCATAAAATATCACCGTGGAAGAATAAAACACATTTGCAACAATTCATAAAGTACATTTTATAATTGAAAAATTATTTTATTTTCCCCAGTAGATAAAAAGGATACTGCGTAAACGTTGACTAATTAATTCTCAGAAACTCGAAACAAATGAAAAACCTAACCGCGCGATTCACGATTTAGCATACTCGTGCTGTCACGCTATCCTGTCACTTAATTTTTTTGAATTTGCGTTTTTTTTTTTTTATATTTTGATTTTTATATTTTGAAAAACAATTCTGAGACAAAATAAATATTTATTAAAATTGTTGCAAGTTATTTTTAAAAATAAGATAATGTGGGATATCTCAGTGCGTATACCGCATTCAATTTGAGAAGAGAATCTTACTGCGCATGGGTGCGTTCCAAAATCTTACCTCGGTAACCGAAAACTATAGTACACGTGACGCAAAATATAGCGTTTTGGTAACCAAGGTAGGATTTTGGAACGTATCCCATAGGGAAAGAAAAGCGAGCAAAGTAGAGATAGCGTTGCGTGCGGGATTGGCGGAACACTTTCTTCTGACAGCCAATGGCTGTGAAGCAAAGAGACTTCCTTGTAGGGGAAATGCGCAAAACGAACGAGTTTTTGTTCATTCGGTTTCTCTTCTCAAATGTGTAATCGCTTTTCCGCTCTGTAAGGCCTGGTTTATGCGAGCCTAAGATTTTAATATTTCTGTTTATTAACAGAAGCATAACAGAATATAACAGAAGCATTGAAATCCTATAGTTGAACTGTACCAATTCCGGCATAAATTAACAGTTATTATCCGCATAAACAAGGCCAAAACAAGGCCTTATTTGCCCGCATAAACCGGGCCTAAGCCAAGTGCAATGGGTGCGTTCAGACAACTCAACGGTTGAGAGATCATCACTTATAACAGGACTATTCTTCAAAATCTGCTATGGTTCCAAAAGTATGATCCAATCAGAAGTGATTATCTTTCAACCGTTGTGCAACTGTCGAGTTGTCTGAACGCACCCAATGTAAACAGAGCTAAAAGGTACTAGGGACTTTTTGCGGTATGATGCTTGCAACTCTGCTTGAAGAACGGATATTATACGGATATTACAGGATAGCGACGGTTATGTGACGAGAGCGTTTGTTAGGCCTTTCGTGCGTCACGCTTTACTTCCAGACACGTATGTTAACGTTACATCAGCGAAAAAACAGATCTTTTTGTGAAAGGAAGCGCGACGGGGAGTCACGATGACAGAGGATAATCGAAAAATTTCCGTAAACAAATGGATCTCGAGAATAGTAATTGCCACAATTGTTTTGCTCATCATTCTAAGTTTGCCGGCTATCTGCGAGAGTGCTGACGAGTCGCCGAGTTACAAATATACGAAGGAGGCCAACGAGAATTTGAAACAAAAACAACATTATCATGACGACCACGAACACCATCACTCGGATCACGATCACAGCCACAAGCATGGTAACCATGAAGATGACGTTTTGCGGAAGAGTCACAACATCATTCTCCGAGCTGTTGGATCGACCTTGATCATATCCGCGGCTCCTTTTTTTATATTGTTCTTCGTTCCACTTGACAATACCAAGCAGCGCGAATCGCTGCTGAAAATTCTATTGAGCTTTGCCTCCGGTGGTCTGTTGGGTGATGCGTTTCTTCATTTGATCCCTCACGCAATGGACCCTCATTCGCACAAAGAGGAGACACATTCCCATTTTCATGGACCTGAAGATCATTCACATGATCATTCGCATAACATATCTGTTGGATTGTGTATATTGTCAGGAATAACGGTGTTTCTGATAGTAGAAAAAGGAGTGCGCATCATTAAAGGTGATCATGGTCATTCCCATCACAACGTTGAAAAAGAAGATACATCTTCCGAGAAGAATAAGGAGAAAAAGAATAGCAACAAAGCGGCCTCCAAAATGCACGAGACATCTGGCAGTGACTTAAAAATTGCCGGCTACTTGAATCTGGTTGCAGACTTTCTGCACAATTTCACTGATGGTCTAGCCATAGGAGCCAGTTACATGGCCGGGACTAGTGTTGGTTATGTAACAACGTTCATGATTTTATTGCATGAGATTCCACATGAAATCGGTGATTTTGCCATTCTAGTACAAAGTGGTTATAGCAAGAGAAAGGTAAAGCAAACGAATACGTAAATAATCTTGAGTTTTTTGCACTTAAGCAAATACGCAGTTGCACGAAATAGTTTGCTCTCGTGACTGCGTTTCTCTTAAGTGTAATCTTTAGAAACGAAATTTTTTAACAGTTCTGCTTTTGTTCACAGGCTATGATGTTACAGTTGGTAACTGCTATAGGAGCTTTGTTAGGAACGTTTGTTTCTTTATTGACGGAAGGAATGGGTAAGAGAACTTCAGTTTTAATCCTTTGTCCGCAGACATGGGTCTCCCAGACCCATTAAAAATTGCTTCGGCGTTTCAAGAAAAAATTCGTTTTGTTTGTAAGACGCTCATATTTTCGAAACTATTAAAGATTTTTTAAATTTGTTTTTTTTTTTTTTTAATCGAGAAAATTGGTCTTTTGATTCAGAAAAACAAAATTTAAAAAATATTGATTTAACACGGAGATATTCGATTTTAAAGTTTCATGATGTTGCATGCTTGATTTCAAATAATTTAAGACGAGAACAATCATCTTGTTCTCTGAACGGAGATTTTGTTTAATCTTAAATTTGATTGTTCCAGGTGATCTTGCAACAAAATGGATTCTTCCGTTTACAGCAGGAGGCTTTATTTATATCGCAACTGTTTCCGTAATACCGGAGCTTCTGACCGCAACAAAACTTCGACAGTCGATTATGGAGATCTGCGCGCTTGTTTTCGGAGTATATATGATGGTGCTCATATCGGACTTTGAATAGGAGATATACTTATTTAAAACAGGTTTCATATTTTGATTTTCATTTTGTTCGTTCTCATTGACGTCTAAAGAAGTTTTGATAACTGCTATAGTAGCATCGTGTAAAAACAGTCAAACAAAAAAGTGCAATTTAGTTGTACGATACAAATTATAATTTTGTTAAAAAAAAAAAAATACTAGTAGCACCATTTGTTTTACGTTGTTGTCACTTTCTTTTTTTTTGTGATCAGTCATTGCATTTATTCGAAATGAGTATAATTGTAAGTATATCTTATAGATATACATATTGTGCTATGCTTTATTTTTTTATGACAAACTTTGCGACTTCGTACGTACTATAGAACTTATAGCATAAGACAATATTGTATCGATTTTAAAATTTACATATATATTTGTTTCGAACTCTTTCATTTAAACTGAACAATTTTCGTAGACAATTTTTTTCTGTGCAAAAAGTAATTTGATATATTAGAGCTTGTGTGTTATATATAAAAATTTTGTATTTTGTATTATTATATATCATGTCAAAATACACTTTACTTAAATATATGCAATACATTTGTTAAGACTGAGACTTGATTGTTATTTTACTATTTTTGCATGCAAAGAAATATAAACATATATACACATCTCTAATAAATAAATATATATGTATTATATAAATTACAAATACAGTTATAATTAAAAAAATTACTTTTGTTTCTTTGTACATACATATACATGTAATCTTTACAACTAGATTGAATTTAAATATTGCACAAAATTCAGGAATACAGTAATCTGTTTACTTCCTTGAGACATTCATCAGCTTCGAGTAAAGTGTCATTATCCTCATTTTTTACAGCTATTTTTCTTCCCTTCTGACACAATTGTCTAGCTTTTTTGTACAGACTTTTTTCCAAAAGCATAGTTCCTAAATTTACATAAACTGTACCCAAGTACGCTATGTCAGATATTTTTTCTCCTAAAACCAAAGTTTACCAAATATTGCACGCAAATCATCATCACTAAAAATCACAATTATCAAGAGAAGACTTACCTATCTTCATTGCATCAGATAAATATTTGATAGCTTCGTCAAGTTCTCCTTGTTTATACTTGGCGGTCGCTAAAGCATTAAGCAAAACTACTGTCTGTTCGTGTTCTTCGCCGTATATCTTTTTACATATGTTATAAGCTTCGAGATAATAGTTAAACGCTTCCTTGTATAATGATAGCGACAATAACATTTCAGCATACCAATCAAAAGTCATAGCTTGCAGTAACACAGCATCATTATCCTCGGGATCTCTCTCAATACGAGATTTCAAATTATCCATGCAGAATTTGTAGCCCAAATCTGCTTTTCTAGATGAACAGATAAAGTGTAACAAATTTTCTATAAAAAATTGTTCATAGACAACTTCATAGAAAACTTAAGATATATAAAAAAAATTTACTTTATCTCCTTTTGACTCTCGTATACTTTAGCCATTTTTAGACTTATGTGAATGATTCTCATGTCATCCTGCGTAGCTCCGTTGGACATCAGTCTTTGCAAAACTGAGACAAACAACTTTTCCGCCTTCTTGTAATCCTCTCTGTCGAAGGCGAGATTAGCCATTACGTCATAAATGTATGTGACAGCGTCGTAATGCTCCATAGTCTGCGCCTGGCGCAAAGCTATGTGCAACATTTGTTCCGCCTTGTCCAATTCTCCCTTCTATAAAGGGAAAGCAAACAGTTGCTGAAACTGTACAAGAGCGAATGAAGTTTTACTCGACCTACTTCGATCATCAATTTATAAAAAAAAACGACTATGAAGAAAATCAAGGACATGCAAGGATCTTATAAAAAACAATACAATAAGACGTATATGTGGCACATGATTGAGAGAGATACTTAACCTGTATCAACAATATGGATCGTTTGATTGTCATAATGACTTCCGGGACTTCCTTCTCGGTGTCCTCATCAACATCGAAGAGAAAATTGAAGATCAAGGTGGGCAAAGACGCAGCAAACAGGATGTATCTTTTTTTCTGCGACTTGTGACCTTCGTAAGAGCGACGTTTTTCTATTCTAACGAGTTGCAAAGGGTTTGCGTAAATATTTCTACAAATGTGTACATTGCGTCGAGCATTTGTTGTCGAACGAATGAATTCGACACCTGACAAAACGCATTTAGATACACGAGATATTAAATTTAACCGATACATTTTGTGTAGTGGTAAATGTTTATTTTTATATTTCACGTGTGAATCTTTTTTACACTTTCTGCACCTTCAACAGGTCCTGGGGGATTTGGAGGAGACATTGGGGGGGGGGGAGGTACAAGAGCAAGGTAACGAAAAGTGCATCAGGAACGATTCGACGCAAACACTTGACGCTTTGATGTTTGTTGATGATAATTTGTGATAAGCACTGCGGTACTTCTTCATATCGAGAGAATCGATATTGCAACGGAATAGAAAAATATAACTAGGGCGATGGTAGAAATAATAATAATAATACTGACGAGATCTGTTTTACATCTTCTTTTTATTCTCTATATTACAAATTTTCAACAATACGAATTCACGTATAAACATTTAATCGAAATTTCAAATCGTACGTGAATTATCGAGTAATAACACACATCTTCGAGACTGATACTCCGGTAACATTAACGTAATTACAAAATGCAACTAGAATCACATAAATCACACACACACACACACGCGCGCGCGCGGTGCATAAAGGTTGGTAAACAAGTAGACTTGAACTCACTACTTAGATAATTTCTAATCGCATCCAGAGACACATTTGAAAAAATACAGCTCGTCATCTCGTTTAACTAAACTCGTATTTCGAGTCTAGCGTGTTGCATAGAAGAATTTAACAAAAGGTGAGCGCGTGTGTGTTTGAAGAAAAATTATTTAAATCTTCGGATATTATCATATAAAAGATCTTTGCGAAGTTTTTTCTTTTCAAAAATAAGAGAAATTTTCATATATTTTTGAATTTACTATGCGCGAACGAAACATTTTGAAATCTTGCGTAAATATTTTTTTTGTATTTCTTTTTGTTAACGAGAGTTGTTTTAATTATTTATTAAAGCCGTCCTTCCCAGAAACGTTGAAGAATTATGGGGAAACAAAAGAAAAATACGAAGAATTGTTATCGATAGGGCGCGCAAATCGCGCGCGCTCAGCTCAGGTGCGCACACACGTACGTGTACGTACACACACACACATAAATGTGACACATAACTACTACTCGTGTGCCTCATGTCGTGCCTGCTGCCTCTCCTCGCGATTCCCGGCCCTACCTCCCTCCTCGTTACACCGCTGACGTCCCACCTACCGCCGTCATGTGCCCCATGTCGTTGTACACCTTGATTTCGTGATTCGTCGCACACCTCTTCGGCTCGCGGGGCATGAGACAGGACATCTTGAAGCAGGTACGTGTGCGTTTAGATGTATCGCGCGATCTCCTCGTCTTCCTCGTCGAGTTATTATACTCAACATCTGCGGAACACAAATGTTTTCCATCTCTTTCTCATTCTCGCCTGTCTCGCGGAGACGCGTCTAAAATAAAATCCGAGTCTCGTGGGATGGGCAAGTCTCTCTCGCGGAAACGAGTGCCACAAGTGCGTGTGTTTTCCCGAGGAGTCTTCGCATCTCGGGTTGCTGCACCCGGTGACGCGTTCGACAATATACTCGCGCGCGACCTTGTCCCAATTCCTCGACCGTATCGAGAGATATTTTTCTCTCTATCGATTATACATAATCCCCATGTGTGTGATTGACGATGCCGTCAAAATTCGCGTGGAAATCCGCCAATATACCTTAGCGCGATATATCGGGTTCCATGTCCGGACACTCCCTGCTTCAAAAACCGGATAAAATCAACTTATGTCGCGTAATAAGCGCGGTTTTCTGATTTGCAAGTGTTAAATTGGTAAATTTATTATTCGAAATACGACAACGTGGAATGTGCGCGACGCGTATTTCGAATTTTTTCTTCAACGCGAAATAAAACATGCGCTTTGTCGCTAATTTGTTGTCGTTCGAAAAATGGCGGTAATATATTTTTGCTTTTCGCATTCAATGCGGTTTTGTTTATATAAAGTAATCAACTTTTGATGTAACGTTTCTTTTCTTGCAGTCATGAGTTCCGAAGACGCGGTCGACAATGCGGCGGCGGCAGCTAATTCCTCCGCTATAGCGTTGAAAACAAAGAATTGGGTCCAATTCGAAGACGATGCCGGTCCGAAAGAGGCAGCTATTAACGCGGAACGAAAAGCAAACAGCGGCAGCGCGTCCGCTGTAATAAGACCGGAATCGGTTACAATGCAGGTTGACAAGATCAATAGCGGTATCGATCCACCTGATATTAACGATAAGAAACCCAACGAGTACAGAGGTGCTGTGATAGCAACAGAATCCGTCCAGATTAACTTAGATAGATCAGGTTTAAGTCGTTCCATAACAGCCGAGAGTGCGGATCTTAAATTACCGTCAGACGTCCGAGCACCGGAGGCTAACAAGAGCGCCTCGTTAAAGACCATCGATCTGCGAGATGTGTCCAATGGCAGAAGTACGTCGAGCAATGTTATCAATACATCGGTCGGAAACATTAGACAGGGTTTTGCAAACGGCGACACTATTGTCACTCTTTTGCCGGTTAACACCAAGTGGCCGTGGATCACTCCAGCCAGATTTCGACCGGAGTTAGTGCCGGAGGAATTGATGGCGCAAGGATTAACGGTGTGTGCAATTTATAATATTACTTATATAAACGATTCTTATCATATATTTCATTGTTCGGATAATATATTCTTAAAAATTAAAATATATAATGTGATGTTTTTTTTTTATAACATCTATTAAAATCTCTGAGTAAAATAAATCATGAGATAAATAAAATGGTGTAATGAAACGTTACAGCTCACAGTGGAAGATTATGTTCATATAATGGAGTTGCTTGTGAACGACGTGCGCTTCAACATGTACAACGTCTGCTACAAGAGAATCCTCGTTCTTTGGATATTTACTGCTTTCATCGTGTTGCTCGGTCTGCTGTTCTCGGGCGTGACCGGTCTCACTTTGTTCGGACTCGGCGTTATGTGGTTGATGCTGAACGCGGCTGCGATATTTTTTTGCATGTTTATCAAGATAAAGCTCAATCACAACCTCGAGAAGTGTATGGCTCAAGTCAACAAACACTTGTTAAGGCACAAAATATTACTCGGACTGGACGACAGGGGAAAGATTTCCTGTCACAAAGTCAATCTCTGTTTTATATACTTCGATACTACTGATTGTGTTGTAAGTATATCATACAATTTCTTTTGTATTTTATTTTTGTCTCTCATTGAAATACTTACATACATATTTGCAACAAACTAATACACAATGATTCTCGTTTTATCGCAGAAAAAGCTGCAAGAAATAATAGAACGGGAGGAACAGGAGGGCAGAATATTCGGTGACGATGCCAGAGAATCAAACCGACAACGAGAGTTGCAGCAGCGTATGGATATTGACGACAGCGACATTGTTATACAAGGCAGTACTACTACGAGAATTTCTCGTAAACAGGTAAATTAAGTGATTTATAATTTTCGATTCTTTCTTGTGAAATGTTACGAGCTCAGTTCTTCTTTTTTATTTATTTATTTTTATTTTGATATGATTTGTGTTTTTTTTTTTATATGAGTTATGTTGATTTGTATAAAAATGTTCTCTTCAATTATTATTTTTTATAGAGAGAACTTAGATACTTCGTTACTCTGATTAGAATAAACGTGCTTTTTGCTGTTTCTCTAACGAGTAGATAATAATTTTCAAAAAGAAAAGGAAGAGAGATTAAATGCAGATTAAATCTTAATTATACATTTTTTTTTTTTTAAATTTGACGCTTTTCTAATTTTTATTCGCACAGCGCAAGTAGTTTTCCAGTGTGTTTACATTATTGCCGGTGGAATAAATCATTCTCGCTCTGTGCGCGAGAAGTTTCATGTTGACAAATTTAAATGTTTATTATTTAATGTTTATTGTTACATTACATTAAACTACTAGGCTAAAAACGAACAAGTACTCTGCCGTTACGTGCAACGTTGGGCTAAGGATTACTTACGTCGACGTTTGGATTGGACAGTCGACGAGGAGGGTGGAAATCCTTCTTCGCCGCGTCATTTAGCGTCCGCTCTGTGTCCGTGTCAGTATATTGAAGAGTGGTTACGCAATAAGCCGCGCGTTCAGGGCCGAGATTTTTGTCCCAGATGGAGTAGTTTTCTGAGAGACAGAGGCATTTGAAATACAGTCATTCCGTAAAGTTTAAAAAAAAAAAACAATTTTAATCAAGAATATGACGATTCTTTTTATACACATATATTATATATATACATTATCTCTTACATAGTATACTTATAATCGTTAAACTTTCTTTACGTCCTAAAGAAACTTTGTTTCCAATTTTATCATTGCAATAATCTTTGAATAGCCGATAGTTTGCTCAAAGTGTAAAAAATATGTACAATTACGGGCAGCTTCTACAAAAATGGTTATTTTCGCGAATTCGAAAATAACATGCGTATTACAATTTTGTTCAAATGTAGTCATTTTTAAAGTATAAATTTATCTATAAACTCTCACATATATAGCAAGCACATTTGACGTCCCAAATTGACATTATTGTGACATTATTGACATTGTGACATTATTGACATTGTGACATTATTGACATTATTGTGTATAAATACAGTCTAATGTTACAAATTTCTAGACGTTATTATAAATATTATATATTTAATAAAAATTGGAATGTTCACATATTAAAGTAATAAAGAAAAAGATAAAAAAAAACAATAAAAAAACTATCAGACAAAAAGGGATAGAATACACGAATTACAAATAAACTCGAGATTCGATCCTTATGGACTTTTTTTGTTATAATTTTTTTACCTGGTTTTTTATGCAGATAAGCTAGATCAGAGCCAATTATTATTGATTATTTAATGTGAACGTCCAAATGTGATATAATACTTTTAATACATCAAGAATTTGTAACATTAGATTGTCATTTTTACATAAAAAAAATTCTACCGATGTGATAAAGACAGTAGAAATGATTAATTTAGGACGTCAAAATGATATATGTTTGCAACTTGGAATTAATTGAAGCGCACAATACGTACGGAAGACAGAATTTTACTTAATTTGATTTAAAATATGCGCTTTAGACACTGCAAAAAGGTAAATGCTGAAGAAATTCTAAGGTCTCCAGTCTTGTTGAGGTGTGAACTTTCAATATACATTTACGAGCATGTGTGTTGATGCAGTAAGATTTTATCTCTTGATTATTATTTTATTCATTGATTATTATTTTTATTGATTGTATTATTTTAAGAATTGTTTTACGAATTTTATACATATACATGTGGAGGAATAAAATATACATACATGTTTTATTCCTCTACATGTACATAGTCTACATGTACTTAATTTTATACAAGAATGTATTTAAGTATACAGATAAAACTACTACACACATGACAAGTATTTCTGATACTACAGCAATTATTAAATTATAAATTTGTTAGGTTTCGATCTTATTATAGTATATATAAATCTCTAAATTGTTTTTCTCTAATTTTTAATCAGAAGGTATGTTTTACGTTTATAGAGCATCAAAATCGAAACTTATCAAAGTTATAATTTTAGTTTTTGACGCTTGACAATAGTATTTACGAATCAGTTTTCGATTCCATAATTAATATTAAAAATCACGTATCCACATTCCAGATTTATTCCAACAGTTTATATTTATGTATTATATATACACAGATATTACATATTATACATAGCAAATACATAATCTCTACATATTAATGTGATATATAAATATTCAAGATAAAAAAGAAAATATTTATAACGGGCTAGAACGTTGCCACGTAAAGATACAACATGTGAAAAGAAACAAAAATATATTTTACAAATAATTTTATGATTTTGTACATTGGCAAAGAATATCTCAAAAGACAAATATATAAAATGGTGAATAAATTCTTTACTCTTCTCGAGTTCTGTAAATTTTATATAACAAAAAATATTTTATTTAATATATTATCCAAGTTGTTATCAAATACTATAATCGCACTTCCAAGCTTCCATGCAATTTTTCTCAAATTTTTAAATTAAAGCACTCATACACTTGTATTTAAAACGAACAGATATTGAGCCAAAACGCTTCAATTTGGATGGATTGAGTAGTCCGCGTTGCAAAAAAAAATTAATGTAAAAAAAACGAATGGTATTATATTGTTTAGCGTGAAATCTGGGTAATTACTGGATGTGATGATGATGGGGTTTGTGTGTGTGTGTGTTGACAGGAACGGGCGGAGTTGCTGTTGCTGAGGTATGCGTCTCGATGGGCACGTCACTTCGTGCGCCGCAGACTTGATCTGGTTATAGACTCACAGGAACGTGATAGGGGTGTCACGGGTCTGTACGTTCCACCGCGCCATTGTGTCTCCGCCCGTTGCCCTTGTCAATTCATTGAGGACCATCTCAAACACAAGCCCAGAGGCAAGTTAACGTTACGCAAATTCTTTTTAATGCCAGACTTCACTGTTAAATGAATCGCAAATGGAAACTGATACCGAAAATCTTTTGAGAAAAGAAGGCATTGTAAGAATCTTAACACTATTCTGTGACATGTTCCTGACACTTTAAACGACTTAATATAGATACTCAAAGTGTTACATGTTGTGCAATGAATCATATGGTAACGAGTTATTTAATGTGATGAATATTCACTTTAATTATTGATTTAATTAGCACGATATTCAGTTTCATGTTTCTAGATTATAGGATTGTTAATGATGTATTGTGCAGTAGATTATATTTATTGTTTCATAATTTTAACCCCGGGATAGTGATTGGTAAAAAAGTTTTGATATATAATTATATATAATTATATATCAAACCTTTTTTTTACCGGGTGATTGAAGAGGAAAACAAATTAACAAAAAATTTATTAAAGTGTAAAACCATATAGTTTTTATCAAATATACATATATAAACATATAAAATATACATATATGTATATTTCTATAGAAATAAATTATGTATAATTTGTAACACTTATTATAAATGAAAACTATTTGTATATATACATATATTATACATATATATGCATATATACATGTATATATATAATATTTTTGTAACATGTAATTATTTATAAATCTGTGTATAAATATATATACACACACACATATATATATATATACATATCTAACTTTACATTTATTAGCTTTGCATTGTTTTAGAGAAAACTTTTATGTGATATTTCTGGAGATATCGAGTTTTTTAAATTTCATAGCACAATCACGTATCACGCAATCACTAAATACATCATACGCACTATATCATATATATTATATGTGCCACCAGCTTTTAAACCTTAAATATTTAAAGCTTTAAATATTTAAACAAATGCTAAAAATACAAAACAACTTGGTTTAAATTCTATTTTTCAAAATTACAAAGTTGAACAAATGTTTCGTTCTAACATTTGTTATATTATCGTAATATAAATGGAATTGTTCACCATTTTAGAAAATAAATCTTGTTTTTATCAGGTTAAAAAATATTAACAACAACATATGTTATTTATTTTAAGATACGCACAACTTGCGGTTGTTTACTTGTTACTTATATCTTATTTAAAGATTATTGACATAAGGGAATTTTTTTCTCGTTTAAGGAATTCTGTTTTTCTAATGATAATATATTAAGTAGGATAAGAGAAGATTAGACATATCGAACGACACATTATCGTAATTGATATACCGTTTGCCACGTCTACCTCGCTTCCGATGTAACGGACGGGCATTTTTAATCTTTTAATATCATATTACTTTTGCCATATAAAAATACGAGGTAAGACATTCTAATTCGATTTTATTTACGATACTTGCAGATTTATTAGAAACAAGTTTGAGAATAATACAAATGTGTGTATCACAAACCAATCTAACTATTGTTTGATATTAATGATTTTTTTTTTATTTGAAGTATTATTGAAATTTTTTTCCAAATATATGTAGTGATAATTCTTTAAGTTATAATTGTAACTGTTACGTATTTGCTTTATTCTCTTCAGTGCAATCATACGTATCGAAAGAGAGAGAGAGCTAGCCTACGATAAAACAACCAATATTAAAAGATAATAATAAAAAATTACATGATTCCCTAAAAAGCGTTACGTTTAGATATTATATTTTATTATACATTAGATATTCTAAGCATCATATTCTATCGATATGATTTTAGACTTACATACTTAATAGCTGTTATAGGCGCAAAATATTTCAGATTTACATAATTTGTTACGTCCGTCCTGAAAAAAAATTTACATTAGATTATGTACCTATAATCGTCGTATAGAATCTACAATATATAGTTTTGTATTGTGTTTACAGAAAATTATATATATTTCTTACGCAGAATTCTCACTACGAAATTGACTTGTACAGAAGTCGATTTTTTATACATATATATATAAAACCTGTAAAAACACTTTTATATTGATTGTTAAAGATGTTGTGGAATAAAGAAATATACATATGCATAGCAAGATTCTTTTATACGAAATGATGTGAAACGTAGACTAACACAGTGAATTTATAAAATTACAAGAAGGACATTAACTTGTATGTGCACTTGTTAAAATATGTAACTAACATAACTAATCTTGAGGGATTACTTGCATGCAGCTGGACGGAAGATGATGAATATCGGTATATTGTCTCATCCACATATCATCAGCACGTAAAGAGTAATATAGTATTGTGTAAGTACAAATTGTGATAAGTTTTTTGTAACGCGGTCGTTTCATATAACGAACGTGTAAAATATTTTTTATTGTAAACATAGTATGATGTGCGGTTCTTCTTTTTCTTTCAGTTAATTGATTAAGTATATTCCGGAATAAAGGCGGATTCGGTTACGATATATAATTAATCACTAATTACTCTAATTGCATTGTTTCTTGCACGTGTTTAACTTGCTAACAACGTTTTCCATGTGTGTTGGATTTTCTATTGTTAATCTTTTAACGTATTATTAGAAAAATAATGATTATAACGAATTGGCATGATTTTTTCAGGGTATCCGCCAGGTTTTACATGGTGCGCCTATTTTAATAATCATGCGACTCGATTTGACATGGTGCCATCAGTCGGCGGGTCCCTGTACAATAATTAACAAAATATCTCTACTAAGTTTCTGCCTTTACAGACCATGTGACACAAAGAAAAAATGCGGTTTATATTTAAATTTATACATGTACAAAAAAAAGATATATATATATCAAAAAGAGCTATATATCAAAACGAAATCTACTGTTATATGTATAAAGGCAAGATATATTTCTTTCTATATATCGCACAAAGTTTTTGTTTTCTTTCTGTTAAAAGTTAAACAAAAAAGTTATTGCAAGTTATTACAGGGTTTTTTACTATTAGGTACATGTATTTTTATATCATGTTTTATATTATCGCACACACATGAGAGACTGTGTGTTTTTTTTTACTATTATATAAGATACAACATATCGCACAAGTATATACAGTAAAACATCGTAAATATTAAATTCTAAAAATTACAAGTGTGTTATATCAAGTATAATTTTTAATTTACCAAATTAAGACTTACAAATTATATTGTGTACAATTCGATGTCACAAATTATGTTGAATGAAACAGTAGTTATGTGCGACAGTATTAATAAATCATGTGTTAATTAATGTTTATACGCATAAATATATATATACACATACATATTTACGTAAGAAAGAAAAATTAAGTAAATATAATATATATACACACACACATTGTCACAAATATATTTTTATTTTATAATAAATTAAACGTGATATTGTGTATATATGTATACATGATAATTGACAACACATATCGACGATCTTTGCTATTCTGCATAAAAGAAATGAACAAAATTATTGCTCTGCAGAAATTCCATAAGATGAACTACATAAAAAAAAAAAAAAGATAATAAAAATATAAAATTATCATTCTTCTTGTTATATTTATTATTTGTGTGTGAATATTCACGTTGTTGTGCCTTGTCAATAATTTTGTTGAGATAAGTTTGTTATACATATATGTGTCTTACATATTAAAGAAAATTTAACAAATTGATTTAGTATATATTGTTGTAACAATAAAAACAATTAGTATAAAACTTTTTCACTTTATCACTTAACTACTTATTATAAATAAGGAAAATAATAAAATAGGATATAGTTAGTCAATAAATTTCACTCTTATTTTCAATTTTAATCATAACATAAGTAATTAAATTTTTTAATTATAAAATAAGTGGCTTACATATTAAAAATGTATATTTATATGTATATAAAATAAGCTTATATCTACATGTATAATTTATTTTAAGTAACATTTTTGCAACTCCAGAAAACAAAACAATATAAAAATATTTGTTTATTCAGATTCAACATTACTCAGCAACTTACAACGGAATAAATAATGTTTATTTGTTATACTAGCGAGTGGTTTATTTTTCTAGCAAATTTAGTGTTAAAAACAACAAATTTTAACACTACCATGTGTCTTGTTAGCATTCTTGTTTCCCAAGAGCGGCTTGTGTCTGTTTTCTAATGTCATCCGCAAGTTTTGTCATTTCTTCCGAGTGCACTTGCATCTGTTGCACTTCTTTTTTCAACGAACTTTCCAACTGTCTTAACTGCTGTTTGGTATTTAAATAAGTTTTCACCTTCTTGTATATATCGTCAGAACTGTCGGCGTTTGTCGAACCGTAAGATTCTTTTATGGATGATTCGTCTGAAAATTGAATTAATCCGCGTTGACTATTAGAAGTCTATTTAAATTCCTTGTTACTTTCAGGATTGTTTTTATTTTACTTTAGCGTAGCAATATATTTACTTATGAGTCTGAACGCAACATCATCCATGCCAGCCCCGTCGAGATCTTCCAACATGTGCTCGTGATTCGGCAAAGGAGGCCTAGGTGGTAAAGTGTTCTTTTTGTTACCAAACATTCTCTGTAATTAATTTGATTTGAAATTTTTTTCAATTATATATTGCAACAAAATCATAATATTTTTCTTCTTGTTTTCATTCTCTATTTTCTTCCGAACGTTTGACGTGAAAACCGCAACAGCTGTTTGTCGGCCATAACTCTCGATAATAAATTTCCACTTGCGTTCTATCGATATATCGACATGGCGGCACGTGTCGATTGTAACCGGAGACGCAGTATCGACGCGCGCGTAACGATAGCAAACAATTTCAAAGTAGCATCGTAGCGTTTGGTACGTGTTTTATAGGTTAGATTATATTATTTTCGCAGTTAAGATTGTCAACGGTAACCGCGGCGATATCATATTATCGTTACGGAACGCTCTGACATTACGAACTGATCGATGATCGGGTATAACCTCACTGGACGAGGTTATCTCTCGCACGTGCGAGAACGTTTTACCATGAAGTGACAATTGTCGAAGAGCACCGTTTGCGTAATCCTCTCGCTCTCTCTCTCGTTGAAAAAAGGTCAAAGTAAATCCGTATAAATCGGTAGTAATCGGTTAGTCTCGACAGTGCGTGCAGATATCAGTTGGGAGAAATGGCCTCGAATGAAGCTGGCGCACCGCTGATCGGTCGGGACGACATCAACTGGCGGAAAGATTTGATTTCGCAATTACGTGAGAGAAACAGGTCGCAAACCAATTGCTTCGCCGATCTCATAAGCCTACGTGAGTTGTATTTTGTATATTGTTTTATGTACAACGCGGTAGCAGCATCATTGCAATGATGACTCGTTGTTTACCATATGTCTTGCCCGCTTAGATTTTATCTCCAGACTATTGTTCATTAATTCGGCCAATATAGTGTATTTGTTTATAACATATTCAAGCTACTCACATTTCTTACTTTTACTTTATCTTTGTTTTTTTTTTTCAGAGTATCTTTACATTAACTTGCGCAAAATTCTTTATTAAGATTTGTCTCGCAGTAATTTAACTAAGTAATGTTTTTCTCTTTTAATAGATAACAGACTATTTGAAAGCGCCAACACATTGCGAAATACCAACATGCAGTTGACAATAGCAAATGAAACTCTTCGTCGTGAAGTAGCTAATGGCACTATTGGTACGGGTGGAAATCCTGATCTGGAGGCAAGGTTGTTGAAGCAAGCCGAGGAACTGATGATGCTGCATAAAAGGAAAGGAGAGCATACGCAACAAATAGTGGATCTCAATACCACGTTGCAAGAAATGAAGAAGGAGCTTCAAGCAAAGGAAGCTAGGTAAATTAATATCATATGGATAAGTTAATACATTGTTTACAAATTTGAGATCTGTGTTGCTAAATTTCCTTCTGCAGTCTTGCTGAAAGTCTGGAGAGTATCACCAATTTACAGTTAGAAATAACTAAATGTCACAGCAGAGAAAAAGAATTAGAAAGTGCCAATCAAATGCTCAAAGATGAACATCAAGCTTTGCAGCTCGCTTTTGCATCTTTAGAGGAAAAACTTAGGAAAACACAGGTATATAATACATAACTTTGTTGAATCAGGAACTTAACAACAAAATACATATTTCTTGACTGTGTTATTTAATTTATCGATTTTTATCAAATTGTAGGAAGAAAATCGCGGTTTGATCGAGCGCTTAATAAAATACAAAGCCAGAGACGCGGATAAGATGAACGAGGAAAATGACAATTTCCTAAGGTGAGTACAGAAATAATGATACATACTGTGCAATTCTTGACGTTAGAAGATAAACAATTATCTTTAAGTTGTGCCTTTTTTTGCGAGTCAATAGAAAGTAGGAAGAATATATTTAAAATATGTATAAATTTAGAGATTAGTTTTATTGCAACATGTATCTTTTGTGACTACTATAGTCATAAAACTTTATAATTACTTGTTTTCATCTTTACAATATCTTAATGGAGCATGTGTCTTTTTCTGATTGCCTCTGTACTGTATATTACACATTCTTGCACGCTAACTTTGATTTTGCGCTGATTTATTTCTTCGTAGTTTTATTTTCTCGTAGTACATATACATGTATTTTCCGCTTTCATCGAGATTAATTAATAATTTCTCTTGCACATTTTCCATTCGACTTAACTTTACGTGTGTACGTGTACTTGTTTATTGTACTGTAGTGTAGTTTCGCATAAATGTTCTTCAGTTTATCATCTGTGAAGCGATCTTTCGTCTCTGAAATTTTTTTGTCTGTCTTTAGCGTTATTTTCTGTAAAATGTCTTTTTTTTATCAGTGTATGAATGTTATTGTATATTCCACACGAGTGCGTAAAATTCTTTACTCAAATTTACAATATTGCTCTTTTTAACTCACTTTGGTCGAAGATTTAACATTTTCGTGATGTGACACAGTGAATCTTTTCAAGTTTGTTCTATTATAATTGCGATTGCGATGAATTAAAGCAACTAGAACGCATGTCACATATATAATTCTAAATTGAAATTACATGAAGTACGTGTTTATATTAACTGTAATGGTTATAAACACAGAGAGAGAATATATTGCAGAAAATTTTTAACATTAAATCATTAAATCAATAAAATTGATATGTATTTATAAATTAAAGGAATAAAGGATAAATTAATTATAGTAAATCAATAACAGTAAATTTATTTCATCTTGATTATTGAATATGCATTAAAATTATTAATGTGTGCGTTTTAATAATACATCTGATATTTTACATTAATAATATTCTATATAAGCTATTACAGATATATATTTATACTTATTAAAATTTGAGCTTTCCAGAATTCGGTCACTCTAAGGCTTTATACACTAGCACTTCACACTGCTTGACATTTTCGTTTCAGTTTTTCGAGTCCGACAGCCTTTTTGATGCATAGGTTATCAAAAATTGGGTAAGTTTAATGAAATGTAGTGAACGAATGTTTTGCTTGACGCTAAACAGCTTCGGGCTGGTAATTTGACACAACACTAGAAACTATCTTGCATTTTCTTGTCTTGTTACTCTGTTACTCTTTTCTTGTCTTGTTACTCTGTCTATTCTAAGGTATTTTCTACATGGTGTATAAACTATATATGTATACTTGTATATATTTGTCATTATATATGTATGTATATATAATTTACATTATATATATACATATTGTACATACATATATATATATATTAGACTATAAAATTTCAATTTTTTATTTGTTGCAAATATAATATAGATAAAAGATATATACAAAATAATACAAATAAAAAATATAATGTAAACAATTATGTATAATTAACTTAAATTTAATTAACTATGAGAAGACAAACTTGAAAAGATAAATAAATGTTTAATATTTTGGTTTAAAAATCAATTGTGATTATTATTTGTGTATGCAGTACAACACAAATTGTCAAAATACTTAACTCTTACTTGAAACTATTAATAAAAAGTTTTATGTAATATTAACGTGGTATTTCTCTCTTCAAGCGACGGGTTAGCTTGTACATAATACAGCTTCTGATATGGAGCCCGGTAGCCACTAAAAAGTTAAGTCAAGTCTTACAGCTTATGATAATAAAGCACACGGAGTGAGAAAATCGCAGAACATATCAATGTTGTGATAAACGCTTAAGAGTTGCTTTCACAACGTGCGTTTCGAGCAGTAAACGCGACGTCACATTTGTTTAATGCATAGGTTTTTGCTCTTTACATTGCAGGAAGCGGCAGGCAAAAATGCAAAAAGAGCTGGAGGATGCGGCACGGGACACGCGACCTGTTAGTCCAGATCGTTTAAGCTTAAAAGAGGGAATCGCTAGTCTTCCGACAGCAGTGCCAACGAAAGTATCCGTAACATTTGTACGTTGATTTGAATTTAAAACATTTAAATATGTATTAAGTACATCACATCTCTATCATCATGAAAGTATTAACATCAAGCAGTATTTTACTCTAACATTAAAAAACGCAAAATTTTTGCATGCTCTGTATACAGTACAAATTTTTATTGAGTACACGATGTATATATACTCGATATAAATTTTACATTTTCAAGCAAAACAAGCAACTTTTAAATTCTAATAAACCTTTTAATATCAATGTATTTTGTTTAGGCATCTACGTGAATATGTTTCTTAATTTACTTTGATATATTTTGGCGCTTTCTAAATATTAGATTATTCATTTCTTTTTTAGAGCTAATTATACTGTAATGGCGAAAGGTGTAGGTTCCACGTGTTGAATTTATGAAAATTTTGTTCTCTCGAAAGCTTTATATTGTATGTGCTTTACTATTGTGTATTTAACATATGAACGTTTTATTGTTTTTATTAATTTACACTATATTATTGTATTGAATCAGAGAAGCTGGATTCGCAAGAGCAAGAAAGAGAGAGGAAAAAAATTTATAGTTTCTCTAGTATTATATTTTCTAAATTCTCTTTAAAAAATAAATTTACAAGAGACATTAGTTGCTATCTCTGTCCAAATATTTTTTGAATTTATAAATTATTTTTTTTTATTTACATTATTAGTTATTTATTAATTATTTATTAGTTATTTATTAATCTATTTATTAATAAATTACACTAGAATTAATTGATCATTTATCCTGTCGGTTAAAAGAGTTAATATCTAGAGTTAGTTACCTAGTTACACCTAGGTAATTAAAAGATTCGGATAAAAGATAAAATTAATGTCTCTAAAACTTTGTATGGAAGAAAAATATCTAGTTTATTTCCAGTAAGAATTCTCATACACACACAACTTAAAATATCTAAACTCTGAAAATATCTGATTTTATTTGTGTGTACGTTGTAATAATAAACAACTAAAAACGTATATTTGAATCGTATATATTCGACTATTTCGATTATCTTTTATTAAGTTGTGTTTGTTTATGTCTTAATTAATTATCATCACAGATACATATATTTTACACACACATCATAATTTAAATAACACTATAAGTAGAACAGTATTGATTAAGTTTAGATACGTTTAAGCTGAGAAATTGTTTAAAGAATGTAATATATGTATGTGTTGAACGCATAATATTAATTGAAAGATTAGAAAAAATCAAGTAAAAATATTATTTTATGTTGAAATATTCTATATATATATATATAAGACAACCTTTTTTAATACAGCCAAACCTCCCTACTCTGAATTTCCTTACTCCATGTTTATATTTTCTTTCGGCTAAAACCTCCAAGTTTATTATTATTTGTTTATGTCCCTCTAAATTTGAGAAGTAAAAAGATAAAATTTGTATTTAGTTATTTTACATTATGTTTATAAAAAGATTTTTATTTTACAATTGTTCAAATATGATTGAAAATTGAAGAGGTTAAGATTAGAGAGGTTGCTTTTGATCTCGATTTTGGAAAAAAATTTTTATTTAAAAGAGCTACAAGCACGTATGCATTATAATTTTTAATTAAAATTTTTGATTTTCTTGTCATTTATTGTTTTTTACGTCACGCACATTACATCTCACGTAGAATGCATGCAAGATATCTCGTAATTTCATACATGAAGTGTGTGTAACCCTTACAGAGCGCTCACGAGGGGGAAGTTTACGCAGCAAAATGGTCGCCCACCGACAGAATCCTGGCTACTGGCGGTGCCGACAGAAAAGTAAAGCTTTGGAATATTACCAAAGGTACGAGTAAAAATATTTCGATTGTAAAAATATTTTTATTATTTTGCAAAACTATCTTTGCAGTAATATATCTCTGCTATATTTATACATATTATTATTTTGCCTCCTGCAATGTATTTTTTGTAATACGCTTTTCTCGAACGTGCCTTTAAAATTAAATGCGTAATTTATTTTTGCAGTAATTAGAAATAAATTTGTTCGATATGTTTCTCTTTCTCTCTCTTTAATATAAGTCGAGTTTGTGTTGCGACTCAATTTTTGTTTCGACAAATAATGAAGTGTGCTAACGAATCAACAGGTTACTTTGCGCGATCGGCACGTTTCACCCTCGCGATGTGCCTCCTAGACAAGAGCCGTACTTTTCCCCCATGCAGCAAAACACATGCTTTTAACGTTCCCCCAAATGTAATTCCCTTCTCGATCTTCCATTACAAATTGGATGAAACATCCGTCATTGTATATTACATCCGCTTAGCTTAAAATCTGCTATTCCGGATTTCTCTCCCCACGCGCATTCTCCCCCCGTTTCTCGGGTTTTGTTTTCTCCGTGTTTCTCCCTCGCCTTCTCGTCTTTCCCTTTGCCCACTTTGAGGCGCTGATAATCTGGTTTCCTTCGGATTGTAGCAAGGGTTCGCTCTTTACCAATTAAGCCGTCAAAGCATAAATTTAATTAGTCATATTCGGATGTAACTTGCTCGCGCAGAAAGCAGAAGAGAGAGAGAGAGAGAAAGAGGGAGAGAGAGGAAACGAAGAGTGAAAAACAAAGTAATTAATGTTATTATTATTGTTATTGTAATTAAAGGAGCGTAATACGTAAACGTCGAAAACACAAAATGCAAACGTAGTCGCGTGAATAACACTCGTTTCGTTAATGTTGCAGGAACGTCGGAGAGCAAAGGAATCCTCGTCGGTAGCAACGCCGGGGTGATGTCCGTGGACTTCGACTCGACCGGCACCCTCATCCTCGGAGCGTCCAACGATTACGCAAGCCGCGTCTGGAACGTCAGTGATCTTCGCCTAAAGGTGAGTTTTTGCATCAGTTTTTATCAGAGAGATGCGTGGTTTGCAAAACACGGGCTTGTAACGCACCTGCAAAGAAATTCAAAGGGCCGCGTTGAAAGACGGCCAAAGGAGACGTCTGAGAGCTTGTAGAACACGCTTCTTACGCGTAGCGTGTTTCACAGGATTTCAGGTTTTCCCACCGCAATCCGAACAAACACGTGCATTCCGCAACAGATTCGCCGCATTTCTGTCAGTAATTTTTGGCGAGAAATACGAATATTAAACAAGTCAATCTGAGAGAGAAAAAAATGATCACAAACGCAAATTTAGATTCACAAAATAAACTGGACGTGAATTTACGAGCCGCGAAAAAAAAAAGTGTCGTGCTAGAATTTTTGCCGAACGCGTTAAAATGCAATAATTGACGCCACGATGAATGTCAAGAAAATACGAGACTTTTTTCGAAAAACGTTATGTATTTGCTCTTCAATTTGTTTTTTGTATGAAAAACAAAAATATATTGCGCGCGAAAAATCGCTTTTACACCATCGTCATATCTATGATGAATATATATATTGATAAATGTTTGTGAGAATTTAAATTCCGAACTTTCGATTGCCACACTCAAATCTGCTGCCAACTCGGTTGTAATTGTACCAACGTTTCTATGAATACTCTCAATGTAAAACACCGAATGTATTACGGAATTAGCGATTTTATCCCTCTTTCGCGAGGAGATGAAACGATTCGAGTATAAAATGATACTCGAGTAAAATATCAAAAATTCGTATACGAATCCGGAGCCGGGTTTGAAAAGTTTTTAAATTTATAGATTACGGACGAAGCGTCGAAAATTACGTCAAAAGTCGCAAATAAATATGTGCGAAAAACAAACAAACGGTACTTTACAAACGAGCGCGTGTCTATTTTTGTTTGTTTGTTTGTTTTTTTTTTTTTTATCTTTTTAATCCCCAAATTTCTGGTTTGCGAAAGTCTCTAATTTTTATTCTGTTTATTATTTGAAACAATTTTGAACGCGCGATGTGAAGATAAAACGATAAATAAATAAAATTCGCCGCCATTTACTTTGCGTGTTTGTTAACAAACAATTAACAAAGAAACTATATATACACCGAAAAAATTATATTGTCGTAAGTAGAAGATTTTATACTTAAAAAATCTTCTTAAAGATTTTAGATGATATTCTTCTTAAATTAAGAATATATTCTTAAATAAAGAATATATTCTTAATTTAACACATTCCGTGCCATGTGGGGCGTATACGACCCCCGCTGCACTTTCCGTTCAGGCCATTTGCAATTCTCATTGAAAAACGTTAGACCTTATGGTTGTTAAAACAATTCATTAAAAATTAAATTTATTGCTTTGTTGTCTAATGCATATTAAAATTTATAACTTTTTCCTGCTAATTATAGCTTTGCAGTATTGAAAAAGTGTAAAGCATACGTCTTAAACGACTTTTTTTAATCTTTAAAGTGTGGGTCGTATACGCCCCACGCGGCCTGAATGGAAAATCTTCAAAAATTGCCGTGGCACGGAACGTGTTAAGAGAATATAGTCTTTTTCGATAGTGAGATGTATATGTTTTTCTATAGAAGCTTTTATATTCTAATCAGTATATATTCTTATCAATATTACTATTTAGAGGATTTTCCTCTTAAAATAAGAAACTCTTCTTGGCGCCTATTTTAGTATAAAATATACTTAAAGTAAGTGGGATATCCTCAAGACAAGAATACAATTTTTTCGGTGTATATTATACAAAACTTTCAGATCAAAAGGAAAAGAAATCGTAAAACTTTATTAGTATGTGAATATATAAGGTTTTTTTTGTACATATAATATATATATATATATATATTTTGTGTATTCTCCATATTTGCAATAATTTGCTCTTTCAACTAGCTGAGGGGACTATAAGCGTTATAGCCATGACCGCACTCAATCACGCTTTCATATACCGCATTGCGCAAACAAAAAGAAGTTACATTAAGATGGGAACAAATAGCCTAACAAGTAACAGTAATGAGACGCGCTGGTCGTCCTCGTGAAAACGTGATTGGCTATATGGACGTGTCCCAGGAAGCGCATAAAAGCGACGTCGCGCAAAACACGCATTAAATTACGACTCTCTACCTACTGTTCCTTCAAGACGGCCTATGAATCTGCCGGTAGTAGAATATGAAAATTTATCGTCACCTTCTTCTTACCCTCGCGATCTATTACGCGACGCGAATCATGTAAATTCGAGGCCGCAAAATCGTAAAATCGATACGTCGGATATCTCCGACAAGAAGTTGATCGGGATCGAATTACTCCCCGTATGCGAACGTCGCGTCAACATGCGAATCGCGCGCACGTACACATGCTACGCTTGCGCTTAATATTTTTCAAAAAGAAAAAAAAACGGTGACCCGAATACACTTTCTGGTTTCTTGACCTGTCCGAAGTGCGCTCGCACTGGTTTCCGATATTCCTTCATCATCGCTGTGTATCCGTAACAGAGGGAAAAGTTTCGCGCTCTTCCCCCATTCTCTCTTGTAATCTTGATAAACGCGTCGATCTTTTTCGTCCTTCATTTCCTGACTTGTGAAAGTACATATTGAAAAGTATCAGAGATAAATTTATATCGATCTTTCCCAGTGACATTTGTGTGAATATTGAATCTTTCGATATTAAATGACACTTTTATTAAATGTTGTATGTACCCTCGCTAATATTTTACAAATTATTTAGATTTTATTTCTTCACTGTTGCAATATGCATTTTTACTCGGAAAATCGATTGTTAAAATAATAGATAGATAGATAGATAGAATAATAATCTGTAATAAGAGAGAGAGAGAGAGAGAGAGAGAGAGAGAGAGAGAGAGAGAGAGAGAGAGAGAGAGAGATGAAAATTAAACTTGGTAAGAATTTATTGGGAGAATTATAACATCGATTTTTTTATACTTTATCCGTAAGGAGATATCAGTTATTTAATTATAATTAGATGAGTACCAAGCTAACTAGTACACCGAAAAAATTATATTCTCGTAAGTAGAAGATTTTGTACTTAAAAAATCTTCTTAAAGATTTTAGATGATATTTTTCTGAAATTTATAATATTTTCTTTAATTTATAATATTTTCTTTAAGAATATATTCTTTATTTAAGAATATATTCTTAAGAATAAATTTTTTATTTTTAAGAATATATTCTTAATTTAAGAATATAGTCTTTTTCGATAGTGAGATATATATGTTTTTCTATAGAGGCTTTTTATATTCTAATCAGTATATATTCTTATCAATATTACTATTTAGAGGATTTTCCTCTTAAAATAAGAAACTCTTCGTGGCGCCTATTTTAGTATAAAATATACTTAAAGTAAGTGGGATATCTCTCCTCAAAACAAGAATACAATTTTTTCGGTGTAACAGCTGACATTGCGCGACTTCTTTTATTATATTGTTGATATGTGTTTACAGCAAGAGAAATTAACCATCGATATTTGTTACATATAAGTGTATTTCTCAAAATAAGTTTGATTCTCTGTTTTAGTACACCGAAAAAATTATATTCTCGTAAGTAGAAGATTTTATACTTAAAAAATCTTCTTAAAGATTTTAGATGATATTCTTCTGAAACTAAAAATATATTCTTTATTTAAGAATATAGTTTTTTTTTGATAGTGAGATATATATGTTTTTCTATAGAGGCTTTTTATATTCTAATCAGTATATATTCTTATCAATATTACTGTTTAGAGGATTTTCCTCTTAAAATAAGAAACTCTTCTTGCTGCCTATTTTAGTATAAAATATACTTAAAGTAAGTGGGATATCCTCAAAACAAGAATACAATTTTTTCGGTGTACTAATACGATTACTAGTAAAACGTACGCGATTAGATAGTTTTTCAACAACATGCCGCAAATTCTATCGCTTTAATCACGACGTATTCTGACGAGATCACAGAAAAGGAGATTTTAGCCGGGCGAAATGCCTCGTCAAATGCACGACGGCCGAAGTTTAGTAGCGCACGACAGTAAATGCCGATCGCTACTAATGCGCGTTATTTCCTTTGATCTGCGCCGGGGCTTCTCTCGTGTGTAAGAACTTAAGTACATGGTCTGTATGTCGATAATCGGTTGCGCGCGAGCGCGGCCCCGTGTACGCGGGGCCGGAGTAATCAGTGATGATCGATTGCGATGAAACTTCGAGTCCCACGCCGGGTACGTACGTACGTACGCGTACTCTCCGAGCTCTCTCTCCTCCCGCGACTCTCTGCGCGCTCACCTCGTTACTTTGATAGGATTGTCAGGGTGTCGTACTGATGTAACATGATTAAACGCTGGGAGCAACCGGCGATGATTGCCGGCAAAGCCGACGGGAATCGACGGACGGATATGTATAGGAAAGAGAGAGAGTGAGAGAGAAGAGAGGAGAGAGGAGGCTTCTGCTTCTGCTTCTGTTAATCCCGCGGCCAGTCGATTGCAAGTCCATGCCGGCTGCCACCGCCGCCGCCGCCGCCGCCGCCGCCGCGCTTCTGGATGATGCTTCTCTCGAACGGTACTTTGATTTGTGCCGTGTATATGACCAAATCGGTCTCTCTTTCTTTCCGACTGGTTTTATCGCGGGCATTCTTTAACAATCGATTCGCTGAAGTCGCGTCGGACATCTAAATCGATTCGCCGCGGCACGTTTGCCCCCCCGACGAAACGTTACCCCGTAAATAACTCGTCCTTCGCTTGTGTGGGAACGTTAACAATACATCGGACGCGGTGAAATCTCTCTCCTCTCTCTCTCTCTCTCTGTCTCTTTCTCTGTTGCTTGTCTGCTCGGTTTCTCTGCTCCGCGAGTACAGCTACATCTCGTCGCGGTTTTAGTATCCGAAGTAATTTCTCTCCTTGGAGCAATTACACGCTTATTCACGTGAGATCACGTGACAAGATTCGACGAAGACGCCCCGCGCTCGGTTGTTCGTTCGCGAATGGAGCGAAGATTGGCCCCTCCGATA